TAAATATTTTTATATATAATTATACAAATATACATTATTATTATAATAATCTTTCAGTTATGTTATACTATATTATTATATCACACTTATTATATTACATGTCAAGCTTAATATATTCAAATTGGCTCTTGAACAAATTTGAACAGTTTGAACAAAAAGTTATTAGTAATTTAATTATATAAATATTTGAACAACATTTTTGAACTGGTTCAGAGACCAATCTTAATTATATTATACCAAGATATATAAATCATTTTAATTGGTACGTTTGTTATCTTTATCTAGAAATTATATTATTTTTATATATTGTTTTTATTTTCTTTGTTATAATATTTAGTTTAGTTTATTTTTGTTTTATTATTTAATTATTAATTATTAATTATAATTATATTATTATTATATACTCTCAGGAATTCTAGAGATCCTATTTTGTTTTCATGTCAATAACTTTTGATTCAAAATTACAAAACTAAATTAAACCTCATTCTTGCTATAATTACTATTAAATAATATTCATAAATACATAATATAATTGAAAATATTGTATTATATTTAATTATTATACTTCTTTATATTATAAAATTATTCAAAAAATATAGCAAAAAATAGTTCACAAACTTATGGGATGAGTGCAATAGAAACTCTAAACGCTAAATTCCAATAAAATTTACACCGTTTCTATTGCACTCAGCCAATTAAATTTATACTAAAAAATTACAACTTATCAAAGTTTATAAATATTATATAGGAATATATATTATTTTAAAATGTTTACAAATATTACTTTGGAATCTTATACAGTCAAACCTCTCTAAAGTCACCGTACTTGGAAAACCAAAATTGGATGAAAATTAATTAATTACGTTTCGAGAATAGTGCTCAATACTGGTTAACTATAAATTTAATTTCCTATACTTCCTTCTTGATAACCACAATGTGAAAAGTTGCATTCGAGCCTTTGGCAGGTTTCATATACTTCCAACACCTTGGTTCTTTACAGTGAGAAGCGGATAAGGCGTGCTCAAAGTTTTTCCCGGTGCCATGTCCCATAGGAATGTTTTGTGCAAAATGAATTCGTGTGGAGATTATTAATTTTGTTAAACATAATCAGAAATTTGAAACTATCGTTTTAATAAGGAATGTTATTCGAAAATTAAGCAGATTAGCAAGAATTCGCCATGAAAAAATGTTATCTGCTAGTGTAATCCTATTTCTATAACGGAAAACACTTGAATTTACAGGACTTTCGCAACACAAATAGGTAAAAAAATGAGGATTTATAAGGAAAACTTTTCATCTGGTGATATCGATATGCATTGTACATGTACGAGAAACTCTCGTTCTGGTGGCATGCAAAAATGTTACTATAGCGAAAAGCTTGTGTAATTCTATGTCTATCACATGAGGCACTTGAATTTACAGGACTTTTACAACACAAATAGTACAAATATGCAAAAAATGGGGATTTATAAGGAAAATTTTTCATCTGGTGACATGTAATTAAACTTTTACATAGCGAGATGCTAGTGTAATTCTATTTCGGTAACGGGAAGCACTTGAATTTGTAGGAATTTTGAAACACAAATAACAATAGACAAAAAATGAGGATTTATAAGGAAAATTTTTCATCTGATGATACAACGAAAACTCATATTTAATCTTTATCGTAATTATCTTCTAATTTTTTCATGGTAATAAATTTTATTGTTATTTACCACCCTAAAACAGTGAATTACACATATAGATTGAAATGAATTCATTCCTCAAAATAGTTATTATTATTACCATTAACTTTAGTGTTTTAATCTCTTTATGCGATACAATTAACATTGCTTCGCTTAAACGCGAAGGAAACAGTGCAGTTTTAATCGATAAAAAAATATATTATATTGGTGGCAGAGCTGAATCCACACAAACTGATAATGCATTTCAATTGGATTTATCATCAGACTTTGCAGTAGATGATCCAAATTTTACAAATTTTACTCAAGTCCTTGGACTTGAAAATATGTCGTCGCCTACTTGGACTGCTGCTTGCTTAGGAAAAGATAATACTATATATATATTTGATGGAACAGATGCATCACAATCGGTAAAACTTCAAATTCTTTTTTATTTAATCAACATTAAAATATTTAATAAACATTAAAATATTTAATAATCGTTTATTGCATCGTTATATTCTAAAGTCATTACCCAAAATAAACACATTATACAAAATAAGCCTATCCAACGATAATTTTCTTAATTGGGTAGCATTTTCACCAAACCAAGGAGACACGTGGCCAAGTGCACGAGATGGAATAGTTCCAATTATTGACAACCTTTCAAGAATTTTTGTATGGGGTGGACGTAATGAAGGCCAAGATAATAAAACAATGTATATATTTGAAGCGAATAATTGGAAAAGCTATACTTTGGCGAATGCGCCGAATCCAAGATCATCTCATTCGGCTACATTATTAAATGATGGCCGAATTATTTATATTGGCGGACAGAATTTAAGTTCATATCCGGAGGTCGATTTTTTGGAGGTAATGCGAGTGAAATAATATTTTCTTTTAAAAATTATCTAATCCGATCGTTAATTAATTATACAGCTAATAATATTTGATTCCACAAAACTTGAATGGGTTACTCAAGTAAGCTAATAAATTTTAAATATGCGTACTATACGTATATTTACTGATAATTAAATTTTTATTCAGCCATCCACAAGTAACATACAAATAAAAAATCGCGCAGCACATTCAGCATTACTTCGTAAAAATTTCAAATTTATTTACATAATGTAATAATAATGTGTAAAGTAAAAATGACTGATACTATTTACTTTAAAATAAAGACTCGGATTCCATTTCTATTATTATGTATGGAGGAGCCTACTATCCTACCGGAGATATTCCCGATTTTGACTCGGTATGGATATTGAATACGCAAACTTGGACGTGGTCCCGGCCATCAGTTCCTAGCTTATCATACATTATTGTTACAGAAAGTCATACTGCAGTGTTGTATAATGGATATATGATTATAGCTTTTGGTAAATTAGATTTAATTGTTTCTTTTATGCTTACATATTATATTTTACTTATTTAATAATTTTGCAGGAATTAACAAAAATTATACTGAGTATACATCTCAAGTAAAAGTTATGGATGTCGCGAATTTAAGCTCACTGGCTTGGGTTCCTACTTACAAAGTAAGGTTATTATCAACAACGACTACTACAGGTCCAGCAAATCCAATCACTTCAAATAACGCAAGCACAGATAAAACCACTGGAACAGATAGAAAGAAAGCTAATCTTGGTCCAATACTTGGAATTGTAATCGGTGGTTTCGTTCTCGTTGTCACGGTTTTTATTATATTTTATATATGTCGTCGACGTAAATCTGATTATTTTACGACAAATGGAAGACATTCGGAATATTCTACACATTCGAACAATGAACTAGTCTCCGCTATTTCAAATGGAAGACATTCGGAGTATTCTGCACATTCGAACAATGAACCGGTTTCTGCTATTATCTCAACTGTCAGCACAACAAGGTTTCCAACCCAAGTTCAGTATACAAATCCATATAATTCTTCTATCTAACAACGTAATACATCATATCAACAATATCCAACAAATCAATATTCGAATTTAGCAGAAATTTAATATACATGTACTAATCCACAGATATTAATATAATAATAGTCAATAAAATATTAAATTTCGTAAACTGTAATATTCCTTACCTTTCTGTCCAATTTCTTACATGAGAATTCAATTATTATATAGCAATTTTACTATGTAAATTGCGAATATTTAACACTTGCTCATTTAGTTCACTACTTAACTCAGCTCATTCAGATAATTTTAAAAATTAAGAGGGAATTAAGAAATAAGCGAAATATTATAATTTAACATGATTATAAAATTAAAGAATCTTTTTTTTATTAATGTATAGTAAAAAAAATAAATAATAAAGAGATTAAAAGATAAATTTCATTATTGATAAAAAACAAAAAAAGCTAAATTTCAATATTAGTAATAAGAGATAAAAAGTATTCAAAAATTAAAAATTAAAAATTAAAAACATAAAAAATTAACAAATAAAAAATAAAAAATAAAAAATAAAAAAAATAAAAAATAAAAAAAGTAATAAAAGATAAATTATTAAAAATAGAAAGATAAATTTCATTAAAGATTAAAAATAAAATTTTTCTAAATACGAAAAGATTAAAAGATAAATCAAAAAATTAATAAAAAATAACTTAATTCTTATTCTGTAAAATTGGTAAATTTGTCTGACAATTTAAATGATTTAATAATTTTTATTATATCATTAAATTTATTAAGTAAAAGTATAATATATTTAAAATATAAATTAAAAAATATAAATTTTTGTAATTTAAATTTTAAATTTGACTATAGGAATTTTCTTTGCTTAAATAGAACTTTTAGTTATTAAATATTTAATTCTAACTGTAATCCAACAAAATAATTAATTTGAATTAAAATTATATAAAATTATTAAGTTAACAAGCTTTTATTTATTAATAAAAAAATGATTACTACAATTATATAAACTTTATTAAAAATATATTATATAATAATATTTTTAAAAATATAAAAAATAAAGAAATATAAAATAATAAATAAAAGAAAACTCATAAA